GGGGAACAGGGACACTGAGCAGGGTGGTCTTATTCTGGCTGGGGAACAGGGACACTGAGCAAGGTGGTCTTATTCTGGCTGGGGAACAGGGACACTGAGCAAGGTGGTCTTATTCTGGCTGGGGAACAGGCACACTGCACAGGATGGTCTTATCCCTGCTTGGGCATGGGGATCCTGGATTCCCTCCTCATCTGTGTCCCTCCATCCCTCAGATGTCAACAGCACCAACTTAGACGACTACAACATCCACGTCATCGCCAGTGTTTTTAAGCAGTGGCTGCGAGACTTACCAAACCCGCTCCTAACCTTCGAACTCTATGAGGAATTTCTCCGTGCTATGGGTGGGCATATGGGTGCCAATATGATCTTTCCTCTGTTTAATAGGAGTAGTAATTATCATGGTTATGTTTGAGTGTCCATGCATGAGTGTTCCATAAATGCTTTATCCAGTACAGAGTCACAGTACATGCAATTATGTTAATACATTATAGTTTTGTATAATTGTTAGCTGCCCCCTCAGATTTTCATGCCAACAATAGCCAGGATTTTCCACAAATCTTTGGGCTTTGTAATTACTGCTTGCACCTATATTAATTATATATTCATAGAGAAAAACTGAAACTAATAATGATATAATTTATATTAATGTCTCTGATTTGTTCCCATTGAATTACAGATGTAGATATTGTGAAGTTTGTCCTTGTAGTCACGTATTCAATTAATTTTGCAATTTTATCCGTCTCACAGGGGCAGTTATAGCTGAGCAGGCAAAGGGAGTTATATTAAGATAATAATTCATAATTCTGACTGGAAGGGTAGCTACATAAAAATGTAGCGGGATATAGTGCTACACTGACACACTGTGCTGATATTTTTCTGGATGTTTGTCCGCTCAGGTTTGCAGGACAAGAAGGAGATGATCCGAGGAGTGTACTCTATGATCGACCAGCTGAGCAGAACTCACCTGAGCACTCTAGAGCGTCTGATGTTCCACCTGGTCAGGTGTGGTGATACAGGGTATATGAAGGGGCTGGGGTGGGCCTAGTGGGCGGGGCATGCACGGTGACACGCCCCATCTGCGTCTTACAGGATCGTGCTGCAGGAAGAGACCAACCGCATGTCGGCCAATGCTCTGGCCATCGTCTTCGCCCCCTGCATCCTGCGCTGCCCCGACTCCATCGATCCGCTGCAGAGTGTGCAGGACATCAGCAAGACCACGGCGTGAGTGCCCACTGCTTTTGGGTTTCCTCATACACAGTAGAACCTTGGAACTCTTAACTCGACCAACTCGGACCTTGAACGGGTCTGTAGGTTTATTATCGTGCTCCGGTATTATACTGGGTTAGTGCATCAGAATGGGATCTGCAGCTATACTTTGTTATGCTTTTACTCCGGGTTTATTGATGCCTGTACCCTATACTGAGTTACCATATTACACTGATTATTCTAGGACCCTGGTTAGAACAATGTTACTACATTAAGCCGGATTTACTGGGCACAGTTACTGAATGATAATGTGGACTTCAGGGGTGCTGTGAGGCATTATGTTATGGCACAGGATCTCCCAGCCTTTTTTGGGCAGTTCTGCCTGTTTTTGTAGTGATTGTCACGGAGGGTTACATCATTAGGAATGGCTCCCATTAGCCTATCAAGGCATTGTTTATTAAATGCTGAAATGTAGGCCTAGAAAAATGTATCCATCTCCTAACTGCGGATCCTGGTCAGGGTTGGGGGGGGGGTCTGAAGCCTGTCCCAGGCAGCACAGGGCACATGGCTGGGCCCCACCCTGGCCTACAAAAAATCATATCAATTCAAACACTTTGTCTTTCAATAAAGCTTTTTTAACCTGGGGAAAAAATACATTAATTGCTTCTGTAACGTAATAACCTTATCTGATGAATATTTCACATGTGTGCACATGCTCTGTGGGTCTTGGGCCAGGTTCTTGGAGTGAACAAGGTTAACTCAACTTTGGATGGTTCTTGGTGCTGCAGGTGTGTGGAACTGATCATCTGTGAGCAGATGAGCAAGTACAAGGCCCGCCTCAGGGACATCAGCAGCCTCGAGTTTGCTGAGAACAAGGCCAGGACCAGACTCAACTTCATCCGGAGGTCCATGGTAAGGAGGATCACCTTAATCAGCTGGTACATGTTGAGGGTTCACCAAAATCCTAAGGGTCTAAGAAGGGCTCTCACACATTTTGAGCATTGTGGGAAGGCCCTTTCTAATTCCAAGGGTTATAAGATGGGCTCGCCAAAATCCTGAGGGACATGGGAAGGGCTCTCCCAAATCCCCTGGGTCATAGGAAGGTGTCACCCAAGTCCCGAGGGTCATGAGAAGGTCTCTTCCAAATCCCGAGGGTCATGAGAAGGGCTCTTCCAAATCCCAAGGGTCATGGGAAGAGCTCACCCAAATCCCGAGGGTCATGGGAAGAGCTCACCGAAATCCCGAGGGTCATGGGAAGAGCTCACCGAAATCCCGAGGGTCGTGGGAAGGGCTCACCGAAATCCCGAGGGTCATAGGAAGGGCTCACCCAAATCCCGAGGGTCATAGGAAGGGCTCACCCAAATCCCGAGGGTCATAGGAAGGGCTCACCCAAATCCCGAGGGTCATGGGAAGGGCTCTTCCAAATCCCAAGGGTCATGGGAAGGGCTCACCCAAATACCGAGGATCGTGGGAATATTTTGCCCAAATCCCAAGGGTCATGGGAAGAGCTCACCCAAATCCCGAGGATCGTGGGAATATTTTGCCCAAATCCCAAGGGTCATGGGAAGGGCTCACCCAAATACCGAGGATCGTGGGAACATTTTGCCCAAATCCCAAGGGTCATGGGAAGGGCTCACCCAAATCCCGAGGATCGTGGGAATATTTTGCCCAAATCCCAAGGGTCATGGGAAGGGCTCACCCAAATCCCAAGGATCGTGGGAACATTTTGCCCAAATCCCAAGGGTCATGGGAAGAGCTTACCTAAATCCTGAGGGTCCAGAGAAGTGAACCCCAAGCATAGAAAATGCCCAGGTTTTATGAATTTCTACAACTCCCTTTAAAAGGCAATCATCTATCCCCTTGATCAAGACAGTGGCTCTCGTCTGCTTACAGAGTGCGTGATGACCTTAAAGGTGATGACCTTGTGCACCTCTGCATCACTTTAGGCTCATGAACAGTCAGCCTGTTGCCACTTGTTGCACCCCACCCTCGCTAATCCCTTATAGAATGTCCCCAAATTAAACAATACTGTGCAATCAAGCAAATCAAACTATGCAATCAAGCAAATCAAACTACGCAATCAAGCAAATCAAACTACGCAATCAAGCAAATCAAACTACCCATATCTCATGATATATTTGGTCCATTCATTTATTTCATTACACATTAGGCCATATGATCCTCTAAATGGGTAAATATTGCAAATATGTAGTAAATATAGTCTTATATAGCCTGATGGTCTCCGTTCAGTCTTTCTGACTGCTTTCCCGTTATCTTCCTCTGCAACACTGAGCTGGATATGTAATATGTCCCATTTTGTCAGCAGACGAGGTTCTGAAACAGGCAGTTTCAGCTCCTGATTTCAGACACACACACATATACATTCTTCTTGCCAAAGGTTTAAGACACTGACAGCAATCCCACTATGCATCTCTTCCCAGGCCCTACTGGAACATTCCTTTCACAATGGGATGGGCTCTCCCATACCCTGAGGGTTGTGGAAAGGGTTTTCCCAAATCCCAAGGGTCATGCAAAGGGTTCTCCCAAATCCCAAGGGTCATGCAAAGGGTTTTCCCAAATCCCAAGGGTCATGCAAAGGGTTCTCCCAAATCCCAAGGGTCATGCAAAGGGTTTTCCCAAATCCCAAGGGTAATGCAAAGGGTTCTCCCAAATCCCAAGGGTCATGCAATGGGTTCTCCTACATCCCAGTCTGTGGTATAGCTCTGCAATTTCTGAGAAATTAAACTCCCTTGCAGCCACTTCCCCTCTGTTGTCTTTTTATCTTCTCATGCACCTAAAAAACTTTGAGGGGGAGGTTCCTTTTATGTCGACCTTAGCGAATGTCTGGAAACAAAGGTGACAATGGGCTGTACAGCATTGGGTCTTTGGATTTTCTTCTATGGGGTCTTCAGTCATCGGAGTTGTCTGTTTTCAGTGACAGACCTTGTTAAAGTGCCTCTTTTGCTGCTATGAAAGCCAGTGGATTGTTAGATTCTTGTCCCTCAGGTTCCAATATTCCCCATTGGGTGAGGAGTCTTGTCTCATTGGTGTGATGTGCTGCTGTTTATTAGTCCCCAACTGTGTATTAAGACTGCGGTGATTGGTGACTCATAACAACCCATGATAGGCTAAGGGAGAAGCCGCAGTCCATCTGGTGGCCTCTGTAGGCCTTCGACTCATGGGCCTAAACCTTCATGAAACTCTCTAAAGGCTTGTTGAAGTGGACCCTTGACCAAGACACCTGAGCTTAATAAGAGAACTGGGTCTCCTCATTCATTTATTGAGTCTGCAGCTGAATAATAACTCCATTCTCTCCTTTTCCCCTAACCTTCTCCCTCATTCTTCTCCTAATCCAGAAACCTGTACTAATTGCCGTTAGGTTTAGGAACATAACCCGAAGTAGCGTCCCGGTAGGTATGCTTGGTGTAGCACCCTGCCATGATCAGCCATACTCAGTCATACTCAGATCATCATCTATGTACTGTTATTGGTCACCACGTCTGTCATGCCAGGGATACTGTTGTCCTCAAATGAGTTTCCTCCTGGAGACTGTGTAATTAAACCCCACCTGTCCCTTTCTTAGCTAGTAAGATTAAGCCTTCAACTGGCCTCCACCACACATATGGCCTAGGAAGGCATTGCGCAGGCCGGTTAGGCTGGTTTGAGAGTAACAAAGTCCCTTGGCATCTATCAACCTTCATCCTAACATTGTCTGCAAGTTGTCCCAACCGTTGTCCTCGTCTGGCCATGCTCTCGTCTTGTTTTTTCAGATCTTTGTAAGGTCCTGACCACACAGGAGGCCCTCAGGTTTTTTGGTTCATCTTCAGTTCTGCAGTGGCCAGGTCTAGTGTTCCAGAACGATCCACAAGGCCACAAAGGCGTGTCAATGACAGCACTGCTTGATGGCTGAATGAGGACCACTCTGATCCTCAAGCCAACCTAGTGATGGGGCAATGTGTGGCTCAGTAGGTTAGGTCTCTGTGCCTGTGATCAGAAGGTCACCTGTTCAAATCATTTGGTCGGCAGAGTGATATCATTAGGCCCTTGAGCAAGACCCCATCCCCAATTTGCTTCAAGGATACTGTGTGACTCTGCTCTCTGACACTCACATGTATGTTGCTTTGGGCAAAAGCATCTGCTAAATAAAGATAAATAAATAAATGATGGGATATGGTTGAGAAATTGGGGTGGTCCCCTGTGGGGTCCTTCAATGTAAAAACAAGGCTCATAATATTTTTCAAATTTGACTTTAATTTGTGGTCTGTTCCTGTTTTTTTATGTAGAATGTAACGACACCTGTCATCTGTATTCTGTATTTTGACATGCATTCATTTATGTCCTCTTTTTTTGTGCGTGTTATTTTGTTATTTGTATTGTTAATATTTATACAAGCAGAATTCTTTCAGATAGCTATGCCCACTCAGAACATTTTGGTAAGGAGCTTGTTAATATAATATAGATGTAATGTTTATATCTAATTACTTTAATTACATCTATAAAATATGAACATGATATATATAGTATATTAACATGTGTGTCTCTAAACAGGAAGTAGATGTCTACCTTAAACAGGAAGTGAGTTATTTTGTTTTAGTTAATGGGTTAATTTACCATGGACAGGCAACATGGCATCTTACAGTAGTTTGTCTTAGTGTTTCATTTTGAGGAGAGACCGCACACTGAAAGACCTCACCCAGTATGGTATGAGGGGAGATTAATTTCAGGAACAGGAAGTTCAGTGAGTAGGTGTTCCCTGATTGCTGCAGTTGGTGACTCTGACGCAGGCGTCCGCAGAGTGTGCACGCTGTGTGCAGTGTGTGCAGTGTGTGCAGTGTGTGCATGTCTGCTCATCCTGCACCGGCCCAGGCTTTTTGGTCCCTCTAACCCCTTCTGTTTCTTTCCTTTGCTTTTTCCTGTTTGGTAACGTGCAGCCAAATGCAGCTAAGAAGGTAAAACGTGCCTGTCTGTGACGTTCTGTGTGTGGCTTTCAAGCTGAGGTGGTGTCATGTCCTGGTTCTGTGTGATTTCTGTCAAACTGGGGCATCTATAGCCTCCTTCTGAAGGAAGCTGTCATGCATCGGAGTTGTTTTCCATAGTTAAATGCCCCCCCCCCCCACCACATTCACAATAATAGGGACATAAACACAATGTTTTAACCCAAAAAAAATGCTGAAGGGTTTTTCAAGTGACTTTGTGTGTGTTTTTTTTTTGTCATTTTTGATGGGAAAGTGTGACTTTATAACTGTGCTGTATTCGGTGTTTTGAATTTTATGGGGATTAAGGTGTTTATGCAAAATAAATCATTTGTGTGTGTGTGTGTGTGACAGGGCAAGGTGCGGCTGCGCAGGGCTATGTACCGCACGCCGTCGCCGCCCATGAGCCCACGCTCAGCGTGCAGTGGGGGGGACAAGGCGGAGGACAGCAGCGCCGAGGAGGCCAGTGGAGGAGCAGAGCTGACAGAGCAGCAAGCCGCCTTGCAGCAGGAAGAGAGGCTGCTGATGGTGCAGATAGAAGGCCTGCAGCGGGAGAAGTGAGTGTGTGTCTGTGCATGTCTGTAAAGAGGAAGTAAGTGTCTATGCGTGTCTGTAAACAGGAAGTTAGTGTCTGTGTATGTCTATACAGGATGTGAGTGTCTGAGTGTGCCTGTAAACAGAAGCTGACTGCATGTTGGTTAACAGGAAGTGAGTGTCTGTACGTGTCTGTAAACAGGAAGTGAGTGTCTGTGTATGTCTGTACAGGAAGTGAGTTTCTGTGCATGTCTAAACAGGAAGTGAGTTTCTGTGCATGTCTAAACAGGAAGTGAGTTTCTGTGCATGTCTGTAAACAGGATGTAAGTGTCTGTGCATGTCTGTATACAGGAAGTGAGTGTCTGTGCATGTGTCTAATCAGGAAGTGAGTGTGTCTGTGTCGAAAAACAGGTGTTTGTGGGTGCAGCAGAAATCACATAATTGTTTGCTATGTAGTAGGCAAATTATAGTATGTAATGTGACCAGTATGTCCAAATCCTCAGTATGAATGAGACAGTAGGGAAGTGGTACCCAGATAACATACTACATTCTGCAAAATTCCAAAGTTCTATGCTATCTCACAAGGCCACTTGAGCTACAAGCGGAAACGGCACTTTCTGAGGAATTTTTTCAAGGTGGCAGAGGAAGTGTTTTCTCTGTACGAATTTAAAGTATTAAACAATGCCCAATTGCATAAGTTAGCTTGAATATCAGTGGCACAAGGTTGTGTGCATGCAGGGGATGTTGTGTGGGCTGTGTACGGTACTGTAAAATGGCACTGAAGGATGGGGAGACTGTGAGTCTCTGCGGTCCTTTGTCCACAGGGAGGAGCTGACATTTGACATGCTCGCCCTGGAACCCCGGGCTTCAGACGAAGAGACCATGGAATCAGAAGCCTCCTTCGTCACAGCAGTCAGCTCGGAGAACCTTGATGCGGTCGTGGAGGGAGCAGCCTTGGACCTCTCTGGTGAGTGGACTGCACATGTGCGTTGCATGTGTTTCTGTGCCTCATGGCTTGGAGGTTCTGTGTGTGTAGGGGGGGTGCATGTCATGACGGACGTCCATTGTCTCCTTGTTGTCCTGTCAGAGAGAGCGCTGATGGCCACCCTGCCAAAGAGGTCTGAGAGCAAACGCAGGCGGCATCTACGACGGCAGCCTGAATCCCTGGACTCTGCCGATTCCTCGGCTTCCATCACCTCCTCCTTCCAGTCCCGCTCCTCCACCACCCGCCGCCTCCGCTACCGCTCAAGTTCGCCCCCGCCGCCACCCGCACAGGAGGTCGAGGACCGGCCCTGCTTCCCCACCTGTTCCTTCAGCCCCGAGAACGGCAGGCAGAGGACCTCCAAGAAACCACACCGTCGGCGACGGGACCCCGCTGAGGCCGAGCCCGACTTCGGCAACACCCAGCCGCTGGTTCTGTACGGCAGCAACGAGTTCATGGTGTGAGACGTGCGTCTCCGGGGAAAGCTGCCTTTCCCCCTCGTCTTGAGCTGGGGGGGCTCATGGAGCGGGGGCTACCTTTCATGCGTCTGTGCCATGGCCGCTGTCTACAGGAGAGGGCCTACTGGAATACGTAGCTACACCCACAGGGGTAAAATGGCAGTGAGAAAAAACATCCACGTCCTGTGAAGGATGTAGGTGGCAATGGCATCTGTCTCCAGGAAGAAGAAGGACCATTGGACGACAGGGGTGACGCAAAACAGGAAACAGGACAAACTCGACCAATCACTGCTCTCAGGTTTACAGGATAGACCACTCAAGTGGGGCAGTAGGTACTGTTTTCGGAGATGTTAATGACACAGGTTGAATGAATCGCTATGATATGATCCTTGCATACTTAAGCCTGATCTTCACAGGCACCGATGGTATGAGGAAGCAGGTAAGGTGTGGGGATGCGTAGGTTGTGTCGGGAAATCCACTCGACGATATTTTTTTGTTCATGCTGCTTTTGTTATCCTTTCGTGGTGAGAAACACCATCGAATGTTCTGTTCTGGCGTGCATCCGCCAAGATGATCGCTGCCATTTTAGCTTTGTACATTTGCATCGCCACTGTCCGAATTGTAATGGTTAAAATGTACCCAGAATCCCTCGCCCAGCGCGAGACATCAGTGTTAAACTATTGAACTGGAACTTGAATTTTTTTGTAATTTTTTAAAATTATTGTGTTAATGTTGGGAACATGAGTTACTATGTTCTGGTTGTTGTCATGTCTGTAGCTGTGTTAGTCACACTCCCCGGATAATCTGACCATGCCCTGGGTCACTCACTGAGCTCTCAGGCAGATGTTTGGGAAGAGGGCTCCCCCTTCTGGTCTGTGCATCATGATTTGACCTGCCTCCCCCACCTGTTGGTCCATCCCGAAGAGGTCATGTGGCACCACTGAGGGGGAGGTCGGTTCTCCTGACACTGCATGTGGGATGCGGTAGACATACTGTCCATCCAGCCCTGTCTATGCACTGGCTCCACTGGCTTTCCTTTACTCAGTCATGGCTGAAGGCACAGCTCATCTTTCCCGGTGCTTCGTGCGTGAATCCGTACTGTAAATTTAAGGCTTCTAGAGTCTCCCATCTGCGGCATGCAGTGACTTCACGGTGACCCGCCCAGGCACGTGCCCTGACCATCCCCCACCCATCCCCCACCCATTCTGCCCCACCCAAACAGTCCACTGAGCCAATCAGCCTGGGTCTGAGCCCCCCGTCCACAGATGGCGAAGGACAGCTAGGAAATTGTAACCCCGCCCCTGGCTGTTTGACCACTCAGATGTTATCTGAGACCAGTCTTCCGTCCGTCCGAGCAGAAGTTTTCCGCAGTTCTGCCGTGAAGGTCCTGTGACGGCTGTGGAGGTGCGTGTCTGTGACGACCTGGACGTCGAGACTCACCACCTCTCGGTCTGCGATTTCCCTTTAAGGAGTTAAAGCTACCAGGTAGACTTGATGATGTCCCGCTAGATTTTGCTTAAGTGTCTCTGTTTTCCTGTTGCCCTGCACTCGCGATGCTGTGACCCGGTGCAATATGCCAACATGAAGGGAAAGAGTCTCCTGCAGATGCCTTTAGGGACAAAGAGTACCCTGGAGATGCTGGTATTTATAAATCAAGAAATGCACTTGCAGTTCCGTTCTCTGAAATGGAGAGCTAAGGTGAAGCCAAAAGGATGGTTACCTTCAGGCTGAATGATGCAAAAGACCTTGATGAGGCCTCCTAGCCCACAGATGGCCTTATCTGCTCAACCATCTCCCAGTTCGACTTGGGGTCTAATCTGTCATGTACTACAGAAATCTGGGAATGCCGCTCTCTCTGTTCATGAAACTGCCTGGAAGTTGCTTGTGAGTAGATGCACCTGTAATAAACTCACTGATCTTTATTCTGATGTCAGTATTTCCCAAAGAAAGGTGCCAGCCTAGGTTCTGTTCATATAATCGCTTAATACCTGACCTAGGTCTCACGCCACAAACTGGCCGCAAAACTTGACCCAAGTTCTAACCATGCATTTTGCTCTGTGTTCTGTCAAGCTAAAATGTGCTGTATGTTGTCTGCCTGCTGTTATGGAGCCCAGAATCTTCCTCACTTTAATACCGAGGTGACTGCTTCTGACAAATATTAGCGCCCCCCGCTGGCGTGGGGGACAAATAGCTTCTACAGTACATGCAGATCTGTAGTTGTCTTTGGGTCCTGTGGGCTTGTCAGTGCTCTTGGCATCCAGAATTGAATGCTCTAATCACTGGAAAGGCAGACTCCACTTAAAAAAAATGATATATATATATATATAAATATATTAAATTATGATTATGCTCATGAGTGTACATTTGAAATTGTATCTGTTGTTAAAGGATATATTATCCTGTGTATTGCAAGATATATCATCTTAAATGTTTTTACTTATTGCCTGTGAGACAGGGCTAAAGGACTTGAGCTTTGTATTTCAGTGTGCTATTTTGGACAGTGGTATGTATAAAGTGCAATTTGTGTAATATTTCTTTTAAAAAGGATTAAAACTGTATATGTCTATGGATGTACAAACAGGTTTATGAACAAATTAATCTTCAGCTTAATAAAAAAAAAAAAACAAGCCCAGGACAGAAGTGGACTGTTTCATTAACGACAGAGGAACCTGTGCTTTACACACATAAAATGCTTTAACTTAATGTGGTGGAAAAAGTTTAATGGTTAAGGGGAATGTTGAAAAAAATCTTGGTTAGTTTTTTCCACTTTGTGCGCAAAGAGTAGCTGAATTCCATTGGCAGTGGTTACGGGTTATGTAATGTTCTTAGAGGCACATGACACATCCACACACTTCACTCTGATTGGTCAAAGATGACTTCACCCACACTGGGTGTTCATTCCCTTGGCGACCAAGGAATTTCGGTACTTTCCAAAAGTCATCATACAAACTTTTTGACTCTGCTAACCGTTATGCAGTTCTTCCCAGTTCATGATATAACCTGATCTTCGTATCACATCTGTCTTGAACCCAGGGTGTATATTTAGGTTGATCTTGGCCTTGTGTTGATTTCTATTTCCACACTCCATTTATTAAGTTGGGCAGACTATATGCCCAGTCAAGTAATGTCAACAGTTTCCATTATCCTTGCATAAGCACCCCTACAAGATTTCTACAGCTCAAATCTCTCAATGTTGGTTAATTATTCAGCAACAGTTAACCCTTTGTATGTTTCATTTGTTCATTAATGAATAACTATGCTTTCCTGCCTTCCTTCAAATTTGCTTTCAAACGTCACATATTTCTTAAACGCAGGTACATGATCTCCATGAATGTTTCAACCCGCTGCTCCATGTCACTGAAAGTTCTCATGGCAAAATCGTGTCCATTCCATCTGCTGCAGAATTTGAGGAGTTTTTAAAGGAACTAACATCATTGGCCACTTCAAACAGCTCATCCAGATGGTCTCTCTATCATAGGTGGAGATTTCAGGTTGAGAGAGCAAAAGTCCAGACCAAGATTTTGTTTCAACCAACCAGTTCAATACAATGTGAGTGTGACTCTTTATACGTAACTGGTTGGTTGAAACAAAATCTTGGTCTGGATTAGTACTCTCTGGACCTGAAATCTCCACCTCTGCTCTTTATTATAGCAAGGGATTTTAGCCATACCAAATTAAAAGCTTTCCCTGCCACATTCTATCAAGACATGGATATTCCCACAAGAATATGCATATGGTGCACACAACCATCCACAATGCTTGCAAAACAAAGTCCAGCCACCACCTTCACATACAAATCACATTCAAATCACATACATACACTGTATGGACAAAAGTATTGGGACACACCTCCTAATCATTCATTTCAGGTGTTTCATTCAGACTCATTGCCACAGGTATATAAAATCAAGGACCTAGCCATCCAAAAAAGCTAACCTTTGGACAATTCTATGCTTCCACCTTTGTGTTAACAGTTTGGGGAAGGCCCTTTTCTGATCCAGCATGAACACAAAACAAGGTCCATAAAGACATGGTTGGATGAGTTTGGTGTGGAAAAACTTGACTGGCCCACACAGAGCCCTGACCTCAACCCCATCAAACACCTTTGGGATGAACTAGAATGGAGCGAGCCAGGCCTTCATGTCCAACATCAGTGTCTGACCTCTCAAATGCTTTTCTGGATGAATGGGCAAAAATTCCCACAGACACACTCCAGAATCTTGTGGAAAGCCTTCGCAGAAGAGTGGCAGCTGTTACAGCTGCAAAGGGGGGGCCAACTCCATATTGATGCCTATGTATTTAGAATGGGATGTCATACAAGATCCAGTAGATATAATGGCCAGATACCTCAATACTTTTGTCCATATAGTGCAGTTGCCATACTCCTACCAGCATACTCACCATTACTGAAATGCTCCAACTCCACCATCAAAGCAAGTCAGAGTCTGGCCAGAAGGAGCCATTTCAGACTATTTCAGAAACACGGATTGGAATGTTTTCATAAAAGCTGCTTATGAAGGTCAAGTAGACCTTACAAAATTTACAGAAATGATCAGCTATGTCCACTGCTGTAATAATTCCCATGTGGAGACATGGGTTTGTATATGAACAGAATATTTTATTTTGCACAAAGAATAAGAAATTTCAGAAAATGAGTGTTGCACACAATCTCTCCTTTATTGCTCGAGTAGGGGGCACACGCACGTCAACAGGAGGGGAGGCAGCGAGCACAGATGAACAATTTCTCAGGGCAGTTATGGGGCCTTCAGGAGTCAGATTGCTGCATTATTCATAGATGCCTTTATCTAAGACTTCTGCAGATGGAACATTTTATGCACTTGGACTTACTTGAACAAAGTGTTATGGCACCTGGGCCTAATCAAAACAAGGTTATACCCCCTGACCCACCAACCAAGGCTGGGGAGGAAAGGGAGGAATACTAGTCAAAGCAAGGAGGAGAAGTGGCCCAGCTTATCTCACAGTTACTGCTGGGGGTGCAACAAAGGAGACACCACTGGGCAATTTATAGCACTGCATTTAAGCCTCTTGGTTTCACTGCAGTGGAAATCGCTCCAGTTATTGCATCCTAGCTGTGTTGATTAACGTTCCTAAGACTTCACTAAGACTTCAAACCCAAAGCTTTAATTTACAGCAGACGTTCACCCCAGGCTAAAGACAGAGGATACTTCCCTCCTGGACAGGCTTAACCAATTGTTCACCTGGTTTGATGTGGCACACAACAATCCAGAGAAGACCACTGCTCCCACCAATGAACAGACACACCATCGATTCCCAGCAGAAGCGAGGCACACTATACGAAAAGTGAACCCACGTAAGGCTGCTGGTCCTGGCAATATTTCAGCTCCAGGACTTAGGGACTGTGCCCATGAGCTCACACATACCCTGACAGACATCAGTTGCAATCCCGCCTGGGGGATCCCCGCTGATGATTATTCCCCCTGCAGTAACCACGTCTACCTAGGAATTCCCCCTCAGCAGATTCCGAGGGAGAGAGTGCCTTCTTTGTGGTGTGTGATATATGCTGCACTAACAGTCACGAGATAAAGTGTAAGTGTGTGTGTGTGTGTGTGTGTGTGTGTGTGTGTGTGTGTGTGTGTGTATGTATATATATATATATATATATATATATATATATATATATATATAGTATGATATTTAGGTGTAAAAATAGAGATTATGGGATATGAATCAGTACTCGTGTTAGAGGGGCATATCATTTCCAAAACTAACACGAGAGGTATTCATTTCTTATCTTCTGGAATGTTGTTTTTGTTTCCTGAAACAGTGTTAGATGAACAATGTGAGGATCTCTTGCAGAAGTTCGTAGGAGGACCTTGCACTAGAGACCTTGACAGGCATGCGGGACTATAGAGATGGGCCGGAAAGAGAATAGGAGATAACTGGGAGTCTTCCGCAAAGGCCGTCACTCATAAGAGATTTCAGACATCCACCGTGTCAGTCAGATATTTTATGACTCGGGATCGAGGGCAGAAGGGGGCAAACAACAAAACGCATAGATTAAATGTCCACTCCAAGCCATTTATACAACAATTTCGGTGAAAATATTATGATATGCAATAAAATATCCAGCCGATTGAATCACTTACGCAATACCCCCCAGACCGCCGAATTTCACTGGAGCACTCTCGCCCCCACCCTGATCAGCAAGTGTTACCGCTGGCACCCTGTGCATTGATTAGCATGCTATTGATATTCCATTGTTTTTAACTCTCTCATTTCTCTTTCAGCTCCAAAAAATAGCTCTAAGGGCTGTCGTAGAAATTTCGCGATGTAGGACTCAGGACAGCGTAAAGTCTTTTCAACCTTCAGTTTATTGTGGTATCTTACAGCACGGGCCTGGGGAGATTCCTCAGGAGTTCTCCTCCGAGCCTCTTCTTACAATTCTTTTTATCCCTTGTTTCACGCCCTTTTTTGCCAACAAACTCTGCTTTGCACTGAGGGCCCCCCCCTTACATAAGAACATAAGAACTATACAAACGAGAGGAAGCCATTCGGCCCATCGAGCTCGCTTGAGGAGAACTTAACTAATAGCTCAGAGTTGTTAAAATCTTATCTAGCTCTGATTTAAAGGAACCCAAGGACTCAGCTTGCACTACGTTATCAGGAAGACTATTCCATACTCTGACTACACGCTGTGTAAAGAAGTGCTTCTTTAAATACAGTTTGAAATGTTCTCCCACTAATTTCCACCTATGGCCACGAGTTCTTGTATTTGAACTAATGCTGAAGTAACTATTCGGTTGAACAGCATCCAAACCTGTTAGAATCTTATAGACCTGGATCATGTCCCCCCTCAGCCTCCTTTGCTTGAGGCTGAACAGATTTAGCTCAAATAACCTTTCCTCGTACGACGATGCCACCTGTTTCTACTGCCCTTCCTGTCTCATTCTTACTTACCTTGAGTTCTGCTGTATGTTTCCATATATGGTTTGTTCCGATATTTCAGTGCTCGCTATTTCTTGACTATGGCCTGATGCTATCATCCGACCTTGAACACGTGGTTCCTACTTGCCTAGTGCATTCCTCTATTGCTAGGAGATTATACATATACACAACATTCACCACTTCGCTATCACATTCGGATTTTTCGCTCACAGGGCCCCCCCCCCATCCATGTCAGCCTAGAAGTTACTCCGCCCCTACACAGCTGCTTGCTGTGGGGCTCCTTATATGCATAGACTTGCAATAAAATATGGTGGCTAGATAATGTGTGTCAGAGGGGACACTTTGAGCTAGGATAGGATTTGTAAACTACCATTTCAATTAAGAAGACCTGGACTTCGCTTTAGCGCCGAGTTCTCGCTGTGTGCTGATTGGTCAGTCTCGTATAATCGCGCATGTGTCACTAATGTTAACGTTAGCACACAAGAAGAACTAAAGTATTTGTAGTTTGTAAAATCTGAACTAGCTCAAAGAGTCTTGTCTGATATGGATTATCTGGTCATACTATATATTAAAAAAGAACCTTTTTTAACATGCCGGTGTCAGATTTATTTTGTCCGTTCTAAACTGGTGATTTCCACACTACTGCATCATACAGATGAAGATAACAATAAAGATGGTTTGACCGTCTACCGTACATAAGACTGCGGATACGGGTGCGGTTCGATTTCCGTTAATTAAGTTTCACATTGACGTTGTGTAGCCTATACTTTGCTAATGCCGTTTGTGTGAAACGAAAGAAAGAGCCCGAAGTGTGAAAGCGAGACCTACATTCATATTAGTAATAAACAGCGATCCACCCCTTCGGTCACTTCTCTGCCTTGTGGTATAAAAGATAAGTCGGGCGGCAAACGCAGCGGAAAGGCAACTGAAACCCCCAAGGCATCAAACATCAGAGCAGGACCGAGCGCCGACATGCAGCCTGATTGGGTAAGATACGTATATAATTATTTAGGCACACTTTACCCTTTTCAAATATATTGCTTTCAGGTCTGAATGCGTTATGTCCTCTAAAACGCCAATCATTTTATTTATTATCTTTTAAATCATTAAACCGCATATTTAAATAATTTAGCTTAAAATAAATTGTAGTTTTGCAATTAACATAAATAATTATAAATTATTTTCTTCATCCGAATACCTTCTTATCGTAGGGAAGCACTTTTGCCGCGTTCAAAACGAGCCCGTTACTTGTAGACTGACCGTGTGTTTTCATCCCAAAAAGAATCAACGAACAGCTGGGGCAAGATTCGCAGGAGCCGCATCCAGCCAATATACCTTCGTTTTTTTTGACCTGGAAACAACTGGCTTGGGTACTGTACCAACACTCCGTCACCCGTGGGCAGTTGTGTCAAATACTTTAACGTTTAACCTACTTGAATTTTTGTTGATTAATGTATGTAAGTGTGCGAAATGAGCATTTTTGGTTCAGTGGCTGGGGAGTGTGGTGTGGATGCGTGATTCTCAGCACTGCCCAAATTTACCTTTGTGTGATCATATATGGAGATGATAAGTGATTAAATTTCACATTTAATTTCGTTTTAAAGAGCCAGCTTGGGTTAGGGTTAGGTAAAACGTCTTCACTCCCAAAAAGTCCGCTTGTGAATAACGCGGGTCGGGTCACCCACTGGGTGTGGTTCAGCTGATCTAAACGGCATTTTCTGTCCAGATGTCTCGCAGTGCCACATTCTCCAGCTATCTGCTGTCTGTGGTGAGAGGACCTTCAACAAGTACGTGCTCCCAAGACACAGCATAACTGCGGGAGCGTCCAGGGTGACGGGTTTCACTGTGGAAGGCGGCAGGCTCCTGCAGCACGGGCACCCCATGCCAACCGTCCCCCTGAGGCAAGCGCTCATTGATTTCCTCACTTTCCTGCGCGGGGTCCAGAGTCCCGTCCTGGTGGCACACAACGCGCTGGACTTCGACGCCCCCATCCTCCTCCGCACCTTGAGCAATTTCTCCTTCTATAATAAGCTGACGTTCATCGTAGGCTTCCTGGATACTTTACGGCTCAGCTATGACCTCCCGGTCTGCTCCGCGTTCAAGAAGTTCTCACTGGAATACCTCGTCAAACAGTTCCTGGACAAGTCGTATGAGGCACATAACGCTCTGGAAGATTCCAAGGTCCTGCAGGAGCTGTTCTATGTCTGGAGTCCGAGCCCGACGCTCGTAGCCAAACATCTGTGTTCAATAGATCAGGTAGAGTTCTAGCTTCCAGTTGCAGTGGTGGCTTGATGGCTAGGGAAGCACACTTGTAATTGAAAGACCTGAGCAAGGTACCACCCCCAAGCACTGTTCCCCAGGCGCTGTCGGCTCGAGTCACAATACAGTCCCGTGCTTAGTTTTTTTTTTTTTATTACTACTTAATAAAATAATAATAAAATAGTAATAATTAATATTTTAATGTTGTGAGCTGTAGTGTATTGCAATTAATCACAAAATTCTAATTCAAAGCTAGGGGGTACCCGGGAGGAATGTTTACAGGGTAGGGCAGTCCCCTGGTTAAGAATGCCCGACTTACGAACAACTCGTACTTACTATTATAAATTCGGGTTAAATATAATGATTCATAATAACAAACGCACGCATTTCTTTGTGATGCTCCTGAAAATATTGCGCGGCTTCAGCGGTTCGTCGGCTCGAGTCACAATACAGTACCGTGCTTAGTTTTTTTTATTACTACTTACTATTTTTTTTTTAAATAATTAATGTTTTAATGTAGTGTTACCTTCAAATTCGGAACGGAACTCTTTCGTAACCTGGGGACTGCCCTGTATTTCTGATGTCTGGGTCCGGTACCCGTTAAACATGCCTCTCTAAAACTATGTTTTTTCATTTAGCAAATTGGCATCTCACAACTCCTGAAAAATATGGATGTTGAAATGACCTATACTTGCTTTAATTGCTTACATTCATCTTTTTGCATAATTAAATGGAACTGCATCACCAGCCATAGAATTTTAATATGCTATAAGTTTAGTCAAAATATTTCCACGTCATTTTCCACATTACTGACACAAAATCATGCCTTTCATTTCATTGTATGTACTTTTGCTTAATATAAGTGAACTATGGACCGAACTCGTAAATGCATTCTATAGTCGTGTATTCCATTTGTACTCTCTCATAATAAAACATCTATACTAACAATTTTAATTCTTGTTATTTTTTATTTCACGCTTGTAAATTTTGACACAACAAAGAGATACGCTTGCGTTTTACATTTTTATCTCTTAAATGTCGACGTTCCTTGTTCCACTTCGGTGTTCATGAATCTGCTATTCCCACCTGCTTGACTTTAAAACTGGTTTGAAAAATTCTAATTCTAAACATCGAAAAACAAACCAAACTGAAATGAACGTTCTTCACTTTTATTAATTTGGTTTATATTTTTCAAAAGCTACAATTTAACATACGATTTTGCATATACTAACAAAACCAACGTATAGCCTTTAGGTTAGCGACACACACGGCAAAAGCTCTCAGTGATAAACGTGAAATGTTCTCAAGTGACGTGAACTTTTCGCGGGGCAAGTGCTCGAATAGATAAGATATAAGACAAGAGACTTTATTGTCGTATCAGAAATACAACGAAACTTGTTTGGTAGCTCACGGTTTAGCAGCAAAGAGGTATACCACATTTACCAGAATACAGTTATAAACATAAATTAACCTATAAGATAACTATTAGTAAAATACAATATAAGACAAATATTCCCTAGTGCAGTCTACAGTGTGCTGGATGGAAAAAAATCCTAAATTATTTACAGATTAAGGGGGGTGGGGTTGACCAGTGTTGGAGTCACACTCCGCCGTGTCCGTTGATGAGAAGAGATTCACAGCACAGACGAGGAGTAGTTGTATGAAGTTAATTTAGTGCCAAAAGTATCAATCAAAATTTTGAAAAACGCAAGCAAAACATTAAGTATCAGAATGAAAATTTGTATTCCAAATATCAAAAAAGTCAAAATAATTTTATCCTTCTTCTTCTCTAATTTGTTTTGCTTTTGGAATGTTTTTCTTTGCTTTTGGAATTTTTTTTTTTGCTTTTGGATTTCTTTTTTGCTTTTGGGTTTTTTTTTTGCTTTTGACTTTTGGCACTGTTTTAACGGGTGG